GAGAGAGAGAGAGAGAGAGAGAGAGAGAGAGAGAGAGAGAGAGAGAGAGAAAGAGAGAGAGAGAGAGAGAGAGGGGGGGGGGAGACAGGGACGGCATCGCATAGTGTTAGATGAAATATTTTTTTTATATTCTGGGCCGACTGAGATGATTATTTGTGTATTCAAAGGTTATTTGTAGAGGTTTGCTAAATAAAATTGCACTGTTCTGATTCCCTGAATTTACCTATTTATTTAACTTTCGAGGTCCTGAATATGATTTCACACTTAAATTGATAGCTGTTGGTAGGAGTAAAAATGCATAGTAGAGCTAAAGCTAACTTTTTAGCAGTAAATAACTATTGAAAAGGGTATATTTTGTTTTAATTCTTATAACCATACTTGTATGCAGGAAGTGAAGTTGCAATAACATCGACATTTTTTAATAATAGTTCGTTTAAAGGAGGCTGCCCAATACTGTCAGGTTACGCATGTGCCGTCGAGATAACTTACTAAGCGTTATTGGTGTGTGCCATACACTCATACATCTTATTCCAATAATAAGTTCTCCCCAATACCGCAAAATGCGGCAGGGAATAATTCCGCATCAACAGCGCATGTGCAGTGGAAGCTGGGAAAAGCTAGCACACTGCTGCTGGATATCGATCGATGGTACTGCCATCATGAGTCCGCAGTCTCCCAGCATCCTCCCACATCACTACAGCAGCTGGCAGCTGGCTCAGGGAGACGCGACTGCGGAGAAGTCTGAACTGTAGTCAAGTGCAGCCGCACATACTGAGAATCTGCAGCCGACATATATGCACATTTAAACTTCCTAAACGTGTGTGTGTTATTCTGGAGGATCACCTCACAGCTACAACGCATGGGGCGTTTCCTGTGCTAAGTAAGACGCAGTCTTTCTTCGTCTGTAGCGCCGTGTGTGCATCTCTTACGTCCGGACACACCCATATAGGCATCATGCGCATCCGCTCATATATGTGAGCTGCCATTTCCATCAGACCGGCGGGTAATCACGACCACAGACAGCGTTTAGCAAGCCAGATTTACCCCCAGAGGGCTTCTGCTGTTACATACAGCAGCCACTTCAGTTCTGCGTACTGCCTTACGGAACACGAAAACTGAGTGTAAGCTATCGGTCGGAAAAATATGGTCAATGAACGACAGATCGTACCAATGGTAAGTCGATGCATTTATTTGATAGTTACGGGAGAAAAAAAAATCGTATTCGTAGTATTGTCATTTGGAATAAACTAATTTAATGATACATAGGCGCAGTTTTTCTAATGAACCGTAGTAAATCCCCTCCATGGTTTTACGCCTTTTCCGTTTTTCGTAATAATGCAAATTTCGATAGAACGACAGTCCAGCTATAGTATATAATATATATGATATATATATATATATATATATATACAGGCCCGTAGCCAGCTTTATAGGTTGGGGGGGGGGGGTTCGTTTTTGCAATTTGCTCGGCAGGGGCGTGTACAGGATTTGTACCAGGGGTGG